TTTACAAACTTCTCTGTTCATAATTCTAGTGCAGGCGTAAAATGTTCTTGCCCTCGGCCCGTAAAATTAGTCCCAGTTGTGCATTACATTGTTACATTATTATCGTGATTGTTGGTTTCCTCTGGCAGTTTGTACTCTGAATGCACAGTAACGTTTTATTTTTACGAGTGTGGAAATAAATTAACTCTTGCCATGTCGTCTCTTCGGTGTTCGTTCTTAATTAATATGGTGTTAACTGTGTTCTGGATGCGGCTACTCTGAGTTTACTTGTATTTTAATCGGGGTAATTTAAACTTAGTAAGAAGTAGTAAATTATTTTCTTCAAAATTTCTGGCATTGCAGAATCCCAATTTTAATCACTGTCGCCACAAAATCATACCACGAGGTCGCATATTGCATCTGTTTAATTAATTTTATTGATGTAGGCCGAAGGAAAACAAATGTAGTTGTCCGTGGTGCGTATCAAGGAAATTCTTGGTCTGTCGAAGCCTACGGGAATTAATCTCTTTTGAGTTGAAAAGTAACACAGTTTGTTGCATCATTATGTTTACAAATCGGATTGAAAGTGCAATGTTTGTAAATTTCTTTGTTTGTGAATTAAATGTTAAGACGATTCCTGCCGAACGCATCAACACGAAAGTGGCCGACTGACCCCAGACTTCGCCAGATCCCTCCGTAGGCCCCACCGTATCTATTTTTAAGCATTTATCGCTACCAGAATCTCTAGTCAGAACTCAGTTTTAAATTTTTCGACATCACACTCGTCCAGCCAAGCGTGGCAGACATTATTATACTGTGAGAATCTCGTGATATTCATGGGATCGTGACGTGGGAAGTTTAGATGGGTAGTAGGAGACGAGGGGTAAAAAACCTGTCCAGCTACGTGCCATGTAGGCGCTCTGGGGAAGAGGTCGTACAGCTTCTTCTCATTCTCAACTTCGGCGCTAGATGGGCGTGAGTGATCAGCGTCACGCCGGAGACAACGAGGGGTACATGTACGATCTTGGTTGGGAAACATTTGTTGTGCATACTAACAAGGAGATGGATAACAGTAAGTGGATTTTGGGGTGATGGATTTTGAGATTTGAAAAAAAAAAAAGGATAATGTCTCATCGTACAACGGAGAACCCCGATGTTGCGAAGTCACCTAACGTTTTGCCAGACTTGTTCTTGTTTCGTAAGAGCTGACCTGAAATAATGTGTGTCACTCCAAACAATTTTTATCAAATTAAGTAACAATTCGTGGTATCAAACCTAATTCTGAATGAGAACTGGAGAAAGGGCTTAATTTGTGAATGCTGGAAAAAAAATTCTCTCCACGTCGTTTTAAGTAGAGTAGTAATATCTACTTTTGTATTTTAGTGCAGCGACTTTTAAATTAGACTGAAATATTAACTTGAAACGTGAGTTCGTTGCGTGATTATGTCTCTGGAGTAAGAGGGCTGTTGTATTTTAATTTAGCTTTGACGACTCACTGCTGCCGCAAGTATTCGAACCCCTTCCCCGCGGTGTGCTGTGTGTTCAGCGCACCAAACCATCATCGCACGAAGAACCGTCAGCAAAGTAAACAGTCCGACTATCGATTGTCATATCCCCGGAGTGGTGTAATTGGCTATGGAAAGCGACGTCGCTCTGGGCGGGTGGTCTCATAGGAATTGTCCGGGCAGTGAATGTTGCAGATTGAAACTCGCTGCGATTAGATCACCCAGAATCCCACGTAATGTTGGCACTAAAACGATTTTATCGATTGCAAACATGGGCTTGACTACGAACCTTAATAAGAAATGCGTGTACTGTGAGTCGTATAGATGGCGGTGATGTTGGAGCAGCCAAAATAGGCTTTTTTGTGGTTATTTATGCAGTTTTCGCGAGCCTTCTATGATTTGCTCTTTCCTGGTTTTAATGCATATTTTCCTCAGACCCTCCCTTTTCAAAACCGCAAAGCTATGTTCCGTCCCTTCGGGTGAGAACCCAAGTTTTACACCCGTACAAAACAACAGGCAAAATTATAGTTTTGCGTATTTAAATGTTTACGCTTTAAACATATGAGACCGGAATATAAGGAATTATTAATTGTATAGTAGCAGTCGTTCTGGGAATTTAATTTGCTCTTATTTTCTTTGCTTCGTTGAATTTTTTTTCTATATCTGAGCTTTTCCACAAGTTTTTCTAGTATTTTACACATTTATTATGGGTTTTTCTTTCACTCTGGCTATACGACATGAACATACACTTACATTTCTATTCTTTTATTTTTGGACTGACTTTCGTATTGAAGTCTAATAGAGTTTCTGTGTTTCTCTGCTGTAGTAGCCTGCTTTAATGCAGACTTGCAGCAAGACAGCTTTCTTTCACTATTTCGGTGTACGCAGTTCACATTATGCTTTCATACGACGAAGACAGAAAGTGTTCATACATAAACTAGTAATTAGAAACAGTTCGTAGTGTATTAGTAATCGTTTTTAAACTTACTACTCCAAACTGCAACCATATTATGAATTGTTTATTAAAACAAGGCATAACAGAACTGTTTGCTACGTAGATTTAAAGTCTCAAAGATCGTCTCTGGGTCCAAGTAGCTAACAGCTGCATAATTATTACGGGTGTGATTTCCAGAGATGCTGTGGAATTGTAATCAGTTTCCATTCTCCTTGCAGGATCTGTTCTGTCTTCTCTCCTCTATCGTAGACTCGTGGTTATAGATGGTTAAGCTGTCTTACATTTCGAAACACCCCAAATTAGTATATTTTATGTTTTCAACTTTACAATTACTGAAAGATATAGTTTGTTTATTAATTCTAATTTGACGTTATTTGCTTGTCGGAATATATGAACCGGCTAGGTAATTTGTTGTCTTATTCAATAAATCACTCTCGTCTTGCAATAGAATCCTTGAGTCGCTAGTGAATCATATCCCGAGTCAAATCAACCCACTTCGCACCCTCATACGTCATTTATCTAGGAATTTTGGTGATCGCTTGTCAGTCAGTTGTTCACTGCTGTCAGCTGTCACCGAAGCTAACGGTGGCCATTTTGAACACCTACACTAGATTCGCTAATTCACTAAGTGCCAATGTTGACGAATGTAATGGTTTGATTATTAAAATGTCTTGTTTAATCTATTGAATGTGTGTATATTTTGGGACACTATATATATTGCTTTCATATGCCAACGTGTTGCACTGATGGTCTTCAGTTTCGTATAAGAAGTTGTAGGGGCCTTGGATAACCCCACTGAAAAACTGAATCTGTATTTTGCAATTCACGGACACTGGCACTTTAATGTGTCGTTGAGGTGATGCGGGGAACATCTGTGTAATGGCTCCAAATGTTTCTCTCTTCTACTTTGTGGTTTCTAACGATAAGGAAACGTAAATGTTTCGTCGAGTCTTGCTATTTATAGCTTTAATGGCGAGTCTTATGGCAAAGGATTTTCCTGAGACCAAACTGAATTGGCTGAAGGTCACGGAGTTAGACCATGGTGAAAAATGGGATGTTTTCTTGGGATTCTGTCTAAATGCGGGCTGGGACTTTTGCCCCAAGTTTCTGAAATCCTTAGAGGACCGGCTTTAAAACATATTAGTAGCAATAGTGCAGAATGTTCCAAAAATGTATGAAAATATAATACGGTGTTCGCATGTCAGTTTCTCACCGCTGTCAACTGTCCCACAAAGGTAACGATGGTCATTTTGAACACCTGCACTATATTCGCTAATTCATTGTCAGTGCTGACGTATGTAGTGGTTTAGCTTAGAAAATGTCTTTATTTACTTCATTGAATGTGTGTATATATCTTCTTGGGACACTCTGTTAATACCTTAGTGACTTAATCCAGCATCTGCGTTTTTCCTTACATTTAACGCCAGATGGTAATTATTTGTACCACTTTCTGTAACGTTCCGTAACTGCATTTTACTCATAGAGCGTACTTACGTGTTTCACATGATTCTCAGAATGAACAGCAGGATAAACCGATTGATCTCTGTAATGGTAGCGGGGTTTTTCTTTGCGGTACGGACTAAATTTTGGATGCAGATTTCCATAATGACTTATGACTTTTCTGGATGTGTTAGGAAAGACTGCAATACGTCTCTAAAAGTGCATGTAAATAGCCCAGAAGCATGTGAGTACACTAGCTGTTGAGAAATGAGTTCATCTTGAGGGGCACGTGGTCTATCAGGTGGTCACGAAATTCCTACCTTTCATGGAATCAGAAGGTTTATTATCGAATCAGTTCCTCATCTCACACCTTGTTTCCTTAAGATGCATTTTAATATTATACATTTATCTACTCCTAGGGCTCGCAAGTGCTCCTATTCCTTAAGTTTGTTATGTTAACCACTTAGAACACAAGAACCACTGTCCGTATAATGAACTCACCTGTCAAACTGCTTGGCTTTACTTTTCCCTTGCTTTGTCACTCTGAATTCCTACTCAGTGTTCGTAACAAAATTTTAGAATTTCAGTCTAATAGGACAATAACATTTATTTAAAAAGTTATTTTTTAACGGCACTTAAGTAATAGATGTTGGCAACGTCGAGTCAGGGCACTAGATACAGAGTTCTTGTTATAACAGAAGACTTTGGCTGCCGTAACTTTATGTAATTTAAAATAGTTTTCCATGTAAGTCGAAGACTTGTGTCCCCCCAACCACAGAAGAGTAGTGCAGTCTTCTGTACATCCAGGCTTACGCTGCTGCGTAGCTCTGTACAATTTAAGCAGCGTTTGCTAACGCATATACGGCGTGTCCCATAAGCTGAATGCCACAGACGAACTCGGGTAATTTGTCAAAATGGGGAATATGTGAGGAGGGTAAAATTTGCTACAAATTATGCGGTCCAGTACTTGACATCGCAGCTGTGGGGGGGGGGGGC